AAGCCCAAAAATTAGTAAAAAAACTTAAGGAAACATTTCCTACTGTTTTTTTCTCCAGGTTTGGGAACGTGTACCAAGATGGAGGCAAAATTACAGCTAAAAAAAAAACGCTCAGGCGGTATTCAAAAAGAAAAGGAATGTGCTGTTTGCTTTCAATTGAACAGATAGATAAAGAATTGGACAGATTAGAGAAAACCGGTGTATTTAAAAAAAGTTGAATGGGTAACACCAACGATATATATGAAAAAAAAGCTCCAGAAAGTAAAGATGAAGCCGACACCAAGAAAAACTGGGGAACGAGTTACCCGCAGCCAAGGACATGCAGTATTATTAAATGATTTAAGTCAACTGAAGTCACTACAGAAAACGTTAAGAAGCAAAGATCAACAAAAGGGAAGCTAGAGGCTGAACAAATAGAACCACAAGAAGAACCTACAGAAACTGTGACTCCATCCTTAAGAAGCTCAAAGAAGGTTGTTTCTGGTAACACTATGGAGGTATAAAAAAAAAAAAAAAAAGAAAAGCGGATTGGCTATATGATGTACTTGGTGAAAGGGGAAAAAATTCACGTGCAGTAACCAGATCAGACGACATTTTTTCAGACGTGGTTGACAGCGGTCCCGCAGAAAAAAAAAAACGCCAATGGAGGTGATTTTCAATACGTTTGATCTAACAACGCCTGCAAATAATTTTACCTGAGGTATGCCGATCCAGAAGAAAAAAAAAAGGCAACTGATCATTTAAAAGTGGATCAAAAAAAAAAAGGAAATACGCTATGATGTTGCTAAAAAAAAAAATTTTTTTTTTTTTTTCTTCATATTTCCTGTAAAAAAAAAAAAAAAAAAAAAAAGAAAACTTTTTTACTCCTACGGAGTAAAGTTTTAGGGGGATGTTATACTGGAACACACCTATTCTATAGTTAATAGACTCTCCCACCTATAATAAGTAGGAGTAGTAAGAGTACAAGTCAGTCGCTCAGGAGTTGGTCAGTCAGTCAATGTCGGACGACCGTTAGTCGGATATTAAAGTATCAGCCACCACAACTAGATTTCTCTGCGTCATTACCTATTATATCAAGTTCCTAACGTTTTGTACGTCGAACCTATTTTAGGACCGACTTAGTACAAATACAAGCCTCCACTGTGAAAAATTACTCTACAACATGTTTAATATACAATATATTGTCCAATTTTTATGGTTTTATTTTTGCATTTAAAATGAATGTTTTGAATAATAAACCCTTTTAAATATTGTTTAATAAATTGTTCAACCATTTTTTTAAGAAAAATTTAATTCAATTCAGTTTTACTTACAACTAATTGTTTTTATATATTTCAAATATTGGAAATTTCAAATATACAAATTGTGCATTTTTTTAGATAAAAATGTCTCTAAGATTTACAATTTAGGAAATTGAAATGGATAAAATTATTTTAAAAATCAGAGATTAAAAAGTAATAGTGGAAAATGATTCTCTGAGAATATCCAGCAACATATCATCAGGAAAAATGACTTTTTAAAAAAATTTACTGGTTTTCTAACAATAAACAAAGGAAATGAAATTGAAAAATCTGGGTAAATTTTCTGATTTGGGGAAAACGTATATATCTCTCAACTCATCAAAGAATGGATGAGCAAGACTCATTCAAAACCTGGATAGATATTCGAGACTGATGGTTTCTTTTTAAAAAATTTACTCACCAACTGGATACGCATCTAATTGGAGACATGTGAATGTTGGACGGTTTTTCAAAAATACAATAATTATAACTGGAACTGTAGGCTGTGTATAATTTAAAATCTGGAAGAGAATTTAAATGTTCTTTGTGCACAAATGAAATTTATGAACAAAGATGATAGTTAAGATTAATAGTATTTCCAAACATTTTAAAGCTTTTATGAATTTTATATAAAATAATGACAAATTTAATAAAACCATTAACTAATCTGAATCATTTAAATTTTTAGTTTGCTGTAATAATCGTCCTGATCTAACGTTTTGTGAAAATCTTTTTTTTTTATGTCAAAAAAAATGAAAAAAAAAAAAAAAAGAATACTTAATTTTTGAATTCAAAAATGGTGTTATTATTAATCTCTTAACTCAGCAAACTAAAATTGTTAGAATTTATTTTTTAAATAAATTCAAATGCCAATATAAAAAATTGAAAAAAATGACTAAAAAGCTCATGACCTTTAAAAATTTTTAACTAAAATTGCATTTAACCAATTTTTTAGTCCCCATCTCTATAATTCAATGGATTTAAATAATCTTCCATGCTCCATCAACAAAAAAAATTTTCCTTTTTTAATTTTTGTTGGATTATACTAACAAAAATATGACCATCTTTTATTGATATCAATTTATTCAGGCAAAAAATATTTAATATGTATATACATTTTTCAAAATTGAAATTATTCCATCGTTTCAAACAAACTCTTTTGTGTTTTTTTTTGAAAAAAATCAGACATTTTGTCCATTAAGGATTTGATGTGTCTGAAAAGTTTTCATTTTAGTTGATAAAAACAAAAAAAAAAAAAAAAAAAAAAAAAAAAATATAAATCATGGCATTAAACCCTTTGCGCCCTGAGTATATAAATTCTAGGATCATGCCCATGACATGCCAAAAATTTTTAAATAACAGACATATTAGAGTATAAAATCATATGTGGATTAATCCACCATTCAAATATAAATCTCTCTTTTATAAAATTCTTGTTTATGTGTGTGTGTGTGTTATCTATTTTTGTCTACCACCGCATGGCCACCAATTTTCGACAGAGATTAATACCAAAATTTAGATTGATGCTCCAAGTTAATGGGAAGGCCAAAATGTGTTGCATTTTATTTGTCGAAAGGAACATTTTTTAATCGATTTTTCATGTGTTTTGTCCAGTTTTCATAGTTTTTTTCGTTATGCATTTTGTTACAATGATTGAATGATAGCTTTAGGCTGCCATGGCCTGAAATCAGTCTAAGCTTTTACATGGTAAATCAAAAACAGAAGACTGACAAATTATAAAAAACAAAATGTTATTTTCCCCAAAAAAAAAATCGATAGCTGCATCCATCAAAGTGTGGGGAAAAACAAAAAAAATCGCATCCTGCACTTTACAGAACTGGGTTGTTAGAAAAAAATATTTGAAAGTTAACATTCTTTTTCATTCGTTTTTTATTTATTCAATATCCTTTTTTAAAAAATATCATTTTGTGTTCATTTTTTTAAAGAAAAAAATTCTCAGATTTAATGTTTAGTATAGAATTATAAAAAAATTGACAAAAACTTACCAAGAATTTGTAGTATGTAGCAACATCAGCAATGTGTAGGGCACTCCTTAAAGGCAAATTTAAATGCAAAAATATTTTTGTATCAATAAGTGATAGCCAATTGCTGTATAATTTTGCAATTTTCTCTGAATCAAAAATAAACAATTTCTTTGCTGCTAATTTATTTAATTTGGTTTAGGAAAGATAAAAAGGGGGGGATTAGAAATGATCAAATCAAGAGTTTTTTTTAAAGTCAAATCATTCTTCATAAATCAAGTTGAAGAATATTTTCTATTTTTAACAAATTAAAAACATTATGAATTTTTTTTGCAAATATACTGTTGTTTTTTTTACTGGATGTTTATGATTTTATAATTAGTTCTTAATTTTATATATAGGTACCACCAATGATACACAATACCTAAAATTTAAAATGAATTTTAAAAAATGAAAAATCTTTCTTGAAGCTTTTAGTTTTAATTTCAAACTAATTGATTAAATTTAATATTTCCAATAAGCGAAATACTTTGCTGTATTTTAAAAGCTAATCTAAATTGATTGGGAGGAGAAGTTTTTTGTTTTGTTTTTTTAATACTAAAATTACTGATATTAAATCATCTGTCAGCTGAAATAAATCTCTTTTATTAAAAATTTTCAAAATAAAACATAAAGTTTATCTTCTGAAAAAGCAACATTTAATCCAGTTTTGTAAACAAATAATTAATTTTTAAAAAAATATCATAGAAATGCATTTTTTTAACGGTTAAATTTATTTAAGACTAATGAAAAATCCCGTTTCGTAACAGTTTAGATAGATTAAGTATCCAATATCATTTAGACTGAAAAATAAAATTGACAAAGATTATTATTTATGGTTGATTCAGAAAACGCATTTAAATTAAATTTTTTTTTGTTTAGTTTTTAAAAGTTTTTTATTTTATTTAAAAAAATTTGAAAATACAAACTTATAAAAATTGTTTTCAATCATCTGAGTCTAAAACTGAATAGAAATTTAAATATAAACAATTGTCTTGTTTGAGGAATTTTAAAGCATTTGAATATAAAAAATTAAAAAAAAATTTGAAGACAACTAAAAACAAAAAAGTGCAAAAAAAAAAAAAAAAAAAAAGGACGTTTATTGAAAATGTAGGAAATCAATCCCATATATAAACGGCTACACATTGAGGAATCAACAACCTGGGTTTTTTTAAGTATAACTCATTATTTTTCACTGTCCCCCCATTTCATTCTCGTTTAAAGTGATGACAACTTTCTTGTTTTCAAATTGATTTCATGCAAAAACAATTGATTTTTTCCAATTTTTGGCAACGCTGTTTTCCCACTTCAAAGAAGGTAATTTTGTAGTCCTGTGAATCTTTTGTTGAAATTTTATGAAAAATGAAGAAATCTAATCCAATACAATATATTAAACAGAACAGAACACACAAACCTGGGTTTTGATAATAAAATTATAATGTTGACAGCCAGAAATTTCGTTTTTCTTTACAGATATATATCTGTAAAACTTAAAAATAATATGAAAATTTTTTGAAAATATTTTTTAACTACCTACTAATTAAGTAAAAATTTAGGAAAACATTCTAAGTAATTGAATTTTAGGTATGTTGATTTAAATTTACTATAGTTACTGCCCTTATTTTTTGATGTCATGTATGTATGCCTGTATATAAAAAAAAATTAGCACATTTATACACAAAAAAAAAAAAAAAAATTTTTAATGGTGGTGGTGGAGAATTTGACCAACACTGACAAAGTTATAGGGAAGGACCATATTTAGAATAATCTGGTAATTAAAAAATTATACAATTTATAAATGAAGTGGAAAAATTATATTGAATCAATTTGCTAGGTCAGTTGCTAGTTGATTCACTGTGTAATGCTAAACATTTGAATTTTACATACTATTTGTCCATACTTTGAATATTGCTGCCACACTGGGGTCTGGTGCTATTTAGAGATACTTGATAAAATTCAAAGAAGAATCTGCAATGTAATTGGTCCTGATTGGGCATCTCAGCTTCAGTTACTTTCCCCATCTCCGTAATGCAGCTTACTAGTGCCTTTTCTATCAATACTCTTATGATAATTGTTTTGATGAACTTTCCTCTATGGTAACTAGACTTTATGAATTTAAGCACAGTACTAGGTAGGTGGCAATGTCTAATTATTTTACAGTTGAAATGGCTGGATGTAACAAAATTCTATGCTAACAGTTTCTTCACACGCACTTCTCATTTGTGGAACTCTCTTCAGGCTTCTTGCTTTCCGAGTTTTAAAAATTTAAATGCAATGTCAATCATTATTTTCTCCCTTCTTAATTTCTGTTCTTTTATTGTTTTCGCTCATTAATGATGTTTTTCTTTTCTTATATTCTTTTGCAATCAGTAACTCCCTGCATCTTAGTGGCTTTATTTACCTTGCTTGGACTGAAGTGATGAAAAACATGCTTTAATTCTTTTTAAATATATGGAATTAACAGCAGAGTCAGAAAAACAAGAAAAAATAAGTTTTTTGAAAATCTTCCAAATTAGGTTATAGTTTTATATATTTAATATCACTAACAAAAAGAATAACTAAAAACCTTGTTTAAATTTGGAATTTATTTTATAATTTACTGCAACCATATTGTATAAGAAAAATACAAAGATTATATATATTTCTTAGCAAAAAAAAAAAAAAAAAAAAAAAATCAAACTAATGAGAAATTATTTAATTTTAGAGCATTTTATTGTCAAAAATTGAGAAATACAACACCTAAATTTTACAAGTTTGATTTAATTAAATAGTTAAGCTGATCAAGTTTGTTGCTGGTAAACATTCATTATGCATTAACAATGTAGGCTGTTTTGTTCTTATATAAAGAGGACACAGGCAAAATTTAGCCGTAAGTGAATTTTTAAAATATTATTGCAAGTGAGTTTTTTGTGTATAGTGAAAAAACAAAAAGAGTATAACTTTCCTACTTTTCTAGATAATTTATTTCATAGAAGCATACTGAATTTCAAGAACATTTCACACATTTAATATGATCAAATGCTGTGACAAAATACTGTTTGTTATCAAAATATAAACAGACATACAAATTTATGTATCACTAATATTCTATGTAATCAACTTGAAACTTGCACTCTTTCTACTGATTGTTAATTTATGAGAAAACTCATTACTTTATACCTCAACTCTCAACTTGATTTTACATTTATTCTATAATCATTAAATTAGTTAAGCATGGTTAATCTGAATGAGCTTATTGATTGTACTTCCACAGTCTAATCAGTAAAGCACTGTTCTAGCAAAACAGACTTAATTTTTATAAAAAGATATGTGATACAAGTTCTACTTTTTTAGAATCTTATTTCCAATCCATGTTGCTTACTTAATGGTTGTAGGATAAGCTGAGATTTGTAATAAAAATTAACAGGAGATTAATAACAAACTAATTGAAAATGAATAATAAAAAATATCTTAACATTAGAAATATTTCTATTATTTTCTTCTGATCAAAGGAAGATGCAACTGGATAGCTGAGAAGTTAATGATTTCAGATTAGTGTTGCAGCTGTGAAACTTGTAACCAGTAAGAAATGAATTTTTTTTTTTTTTTTTTAATCTATGGGACAATTGGATAAGGCTTTATCACAAATTTAGTACTAAGAATAGCTTATTTGATGCTTTAACTCTTTAACATCATGCTGAAAACAATATACATCAAGAGCAAATAAAATCCAAATAACATAATACAGAAAGTTTCATCAATAATTTTATTAATTGACAACACCAAACTTACAGATAATGCTCAGAACAATTTAAATAGCCAACTGAAAAATGCAAACAAAAAATCTATTCCTACTCTTTATAATTTACTGAGTGCCCATTGAAATCTACTATTAATATTTTGTTTCTTCTGAACCCTTATATAAGGAAGACAACCATTTTCATTAGGTAAGCTCCAGATTCAGCAGTTATCTGATGTGCAATCATATGTTAAATTTTAAGTTAATTTTCCATTTTAATATACCCTCCTTAAAAGTATCACAGTCAACTGAACCCCAGATTGCTCACCACTCTTTGGTGATAAGCTCCTCTTAAAATAATTATTTATTCTTTGTAAATTTTAAAATTTGTCTTGTCATTTTCTGCCTAAACATTACAAAAGGTGAACATAGATGGGAAGTTCACTCAGCTTAGGATGGCATACAACAAATGGATTATCATTTATATTTGATACCTCAGACTCAAATTCAGAATGAGAGTGTCGAAATTTCTTTGACAGTATTAGGAAGGCTGACTTAGAAAATTTAATGGTCACAGAATCCATTGAGGGAGTGACAGGTAAAAAATTAGCAAGACAAGAAGGGATGGGAAAGAGTCAAATGTTGTTTAGGGCTTCAAAGGCAGAAAATTGTGGTGAGCCATGATCATCTACGTCCTGAAATGATAACGACTGATCAAGATATACATTAGGCATATCTTTCTATCATTTTATTACAATATGCTTGCTAAACTTGCCATACAGTTACTGGTAACTTATTTTTTTACCAACTAAGCAGAAAAATACTTTTAAATGTAGGTAAAATATGATATTTTTAATAAACTATTATATAATATTAACAAATTAAATCTGAGCAGTAACACTAGTTGCCTTTGTAACCAATTTAAGAATGATAACAAGATAAAAATATACATAAACAGAATAAAAATCATAAGTGATAATATACATGATTTTTATCCTGTCTATATTAGTGATAATATACATATATAAATAGACACTTACCTTTGGCCAAGGATGTGGTTTGATCTGTGGAAATTTGAATTCTGTGTAATTTGGGTTCATTTCCCTGATTTGTTCTCTCGTAGGTGTTCCCAAAACTTTGATTATCTCCACCAACTGATCAACGCCACTGTCGCCTGGAAAGATGGGCTGTCCTAGCAATAATTCAGCCAGTACACAACCAGCAGACCAGACATCTTGAAAATATATAAGTAAATTAATAAAATGTTAATATCATGGAAAAAACTCATAAGCTTTATTTATGATTGGCAGCTTTTTTGCATTTTTTTTTTTACATGCAAGTTAACTTATATCACTTTAAAAACATTACTTCATTTGTATCAGTCTACTTTTATTTATAGCTAGAGATGTTAAGCAAAAGATTCATTAAATACTTATATATCAGTATTGTTTCCATGTACATGCAAAGTGAATGCAAACTGTTCCAGCCAGAATTTCAACTCAGCAATACACTTCTTTACACTATGACACAACCTACACTTCCAATAAGTGTATGGTTAATAAAAATTTGAGTACAATTATGAAATCTATCTAAAGAGAGAAAAAAACAAACAAAAACAATCGCACCAAATTTCAAAGCTATAATAATTTTACTTGTTTTCATTTTAATATTGATTAACTATAAAATAATGAATAATTTTTGGGTTGCTGACTGCCATACCTTCTATTATAAAAGATTTATAAATTAAAAAATATACTGAATCTGATTTTAATGTAAAATAAATTACTTATATTGAACTCACCTATTTGACATGTGTAATCTGTAGCACCAAAAATTAGTTCTGGGGCTCGGTAATATCTTGAACAAATGTAGGATACATTTGGTTCTCCTCGGACTAATACTTTTGCGCTGGAGGAGTAAAAGAAGAAAATGGTTACAAAACATGAAGTAAATTGTGAAAGGCATTCTTGAACATTGGAATGGACAAGATCAATATTAAATAATACTAGGAACCTATTGTAAGATAATGGCTCACAAGCTTGTAGGTTAATTCACTAATTACCTACTGCTTTATACTAGATTGGTGTAATTATAGGGACATGAAATATCAAAACACTAAATCAATGTGGCCAGTTAATGAATATAAAACAGGAAATGAATAGATTCAACATTAATATTTTAGGTGTGTGTGAAACTAAATGGGCAAGCAATGGAAATTTTGTCAGTGAAAAACATGGTCAAATATGTAGGCGGAGTGTAAAATAAGAAGGAAGTAGAACTTATATCAAACCAAGACATGAAGAAATGTTCTGGGATAATATCAATTATCTGATAGAATTCTTGTAGTTAAACTGAAAGGAAACTCTTAACATAGCCATCATAGTTGTATATGCATAGACAGTACAAAGAACGGATGAAGTAATTGAAAATTTTTACTGTATGCTAGACAATGCCAAGGCAAATCGCAGGAAATTATAACTCATCCAAGATGTATATTGACATGGAGAAGCCTAGAAAGAGAAACAAAGAACCAAATCAATGACATAAATTGATTTTTATATAGATGATTTGGTTCTTTGTTCCTCCTATTCAAGAATGCATTTTTACACTGTAAGACATACCCAAGTGCTGACTGAGGGAGAAATCACCTTCCAGTAATATAACCTTAGAGTGAAACTATAGAACTTGGAGAGGGCCAAGACAGCACCCAAATTACAATATGATGGACTCCTGAAGTATCTGAATTGCAAAGAAATGTATACTGACAGTGTTAAAAGCAGATACAATGAACTAAATGAGAATGGAAATTCAAAGTGGGACAAATTGAGAAGCTTTATTAACATTAGCAAATGAGATCATCTAAACTAGGAAAAAAAAAAGAAAGAAAAGGAATGGATGACAGATGAAATTCTCAACATTATGAAAAGGAGACAAAAGACAAGCTCATTGGGATACATAAAATCCATGAATGGAACACTGATAATAGAGAAAGAAAAATACTTCAAAGATGGAATGAATACATTTCCACAAGGAAAACCCAGAATACACAAAAATATCAAAGAACCAGAAGTGAAATCAACACTGGCCAAATTGAACAGAGCAGCAGGTCCAGATGAAATTATAATAGTAAAACAGGCAAATTTAGATTTGGGCATTGACAAAATGACAAACAAAATATACAACAGTGGTAATATACCAGAAAACCTAAGTGGATCAATTTTCATAGAAACCTGGTGCAAACAAATGAACTCAATCAGACAATCAACCTAATGAGCCATATAATAAAATTATGATGAATAGAGCATGCAGCAGAATTAGACCTGAAATAGGACAAGAACAATGCAGTTTTATTAAAGACACTGGGACAAGAAATGCAATATTCATGTTCAGAATGATATCAGAAGGAGCAATAAAAATGCAAAAGGATGTATACCTGTTTTATAGATTATGCAAAAGTGTTTGATGAAGCTAGGTAAGCTCGATTTATTTGGGAAAGATATTAGAATTATCTAGAAATTATACTGAGAGAAAACTGCCTGTAGATGGATACAAATTGAATTCTGTAAATACACAAAAACAGAAAGGTGCCAAAGACAAGGATGTGTCTTCTCATCAGACTTATTCAACCTTTACAATGAAGCAATCCTGAGAAATAGAAGTTCTACTAGGATTCATTATTGGCAGCCATAATCTTAACATTAGATATGCAGATGACAGTGTTGATAGCTTACACTGAAAGGAAACCATAGAAAGTAGTAAAGTAAATCAAGATGAAAAGACTAAACATCAATTGTAAGAAGATGGAATGTGAGGTTGTCAGCAAAAGAAACAGCCCAACATGCAAATTACAAATTGGAGATAGCAAAATCCAGCAAGTACAAAAATCTAAATATCTAGCAAGTGTTTTAACAGAGGACGGAAGGTGCCACATCAAAATCTGAAGGCACTTTGAAATAGTTTTTGCTAGACAAACTATCAAACAAGAAAATTTCATTAGAAACAAAAAGAAGAGTATTGAACATAATATCAGTCCTCCAATATGCTGGACAATCTCATCATAGATGAAGAGGAGACTTTGGGGCAACAGAAGGATGCTGAGAATACTATGGACTGCACATGTGAGCAACAATAAAGATTTAGAGAAAATGGAAGCAAAAGGAAAACTTATACTTAGCATCAGAAAGAAACTTTTGAAATTTCTAGGACATATAATGAGAAAAGAGGTCTTGGGCTTAGAAGCTTTGACACTTATGTGATATACTGAAATCAAAAGGGCCAAAAGAAAACGGTGCATAATGAGCTTGTGTAAATGGTTGGCAGAACAGTGATTAGGCATGACAGAAAAAGACAAATTTTCTAAGGAGAGGAAATTGTGAGCCATGATCATCCATGAACTGAAGGGAGACAGCACACAGAAGGAAGTAAAATGTAAGGGAAACAACCCTGTTAGGACTATCTCTAGGCAGAGGGTGAGACAGAAGAGTAGACTCAGAGAGGATGCTACATTTCTGTTGAATCACACTCTCCCAACTAAGAACCTAACTATGTGTATCTATATGTATGTACATACTTGTTAATAAAACATGTACAACAAAACACCAGACTTAGTAAATATTAGATGCATGCAAAAATATCCAGTGTTCTATTTTTTTTTTTGAAAAACAGAAACTGATTGTAGTATTTTTTTAAATCCAACATTCTCTCATGCCAGCCAAACATTTTGACTAATATCAAATCTGAATAGGATGTTAGAATATATATTTTATCATCAATATTAACTCAAGAACAGTCAAAGTATGGGATGAATTTCTTTGAATTTGAAAACAAAAAGAATTATTTAAAACTAATTCAAATCTTGGCATTGTATTCAGGAGGCAGTAGAAATACTTAATGGTAAGATATTAGCTAGTTAAAAAGATGATTGTCAGTAATGTCGTACCATTACATGGGAGGTATTTCTTCTGCACCCTGTATATTCTAAAGAGTTAAGTGATTTTTATTTTTAATGTGAAATTTTTATTACTTCAAGTATGATTTGGCCTTTTATACGTAGTTGAATTACAGCAATTTGTAGTGGTTTTTCTTTTGCTTGTGTACTTCCTCCATGCAACAGTTAATTCTACTAGGAGGACACTTCTTTGAATCAGACTATGTTATAATGTCAGAATGTGTATCTGTCTGAATGATATGTACTAGAAACTGCATAAGTGTTCTAAGATCAATTCAACAAGCTCCATTCAGTAGTGTCATGTTGGGAGTTATTTGGGTCTTCTGCACAGGGTGTTCATCTTCCTTGTGAAGTTTCTCTGGACGTTACACACTGTATACTAAGTCCATGACCATTTCCAGTACTTTCTTTGTTATGACGCCATGTGTACATCTGCAGTGAGTGTGGGCATACAGAGAACCCATGATGTAAAGTGGCTCGATCACTTTGACATAATGACATCAGTGTCAGTATACCCAAGAGCTTGAGGTGGGCTGCATTCGGTAGATCATAGGTAGACCGCAGGAGAAATGATATTGCCAATGGCTCTATGGTGATCAGGGTATTCCATGAGTTTCATCAGATCAACATCACTCCAATGTATGTCCAAGCACATTGTTTGACCTGAGAAACAGCAGTAGTTGTTCACTCCTCTTCCTCAAAATTCCAGATTTTTTCAATCACCATGACTAGTTTTCCATTTGGACCCTGTTTGGAGAAAAACTGGTTGCTTGTGTAGCTAGATTAATTTGGAGGCTGGATAATGCTTCTTGGGTGGCTCCTACTGTCAACTATTTGGTGCAACTTTTGATATCTGGCTTTACCTGGCGGATAAACTTATCGTCAGAGTCAATCATCATCATGTGAATACGTAACTTTCTGACCTGGAACTCCTCCACCAATGAGGAGATGGGAAGTTACAGGTTTCCAGCATTGACATATGTGGTGAACAATTATGTAAAAGTGAGTGAGTAAGAGCAGATTGCATCTGGTTCAAAGGAAAATAAGTTCCTTACCTCTATACACAATACATATAATATGATATAAATATATATATATCTTATGTAGCGATTTGGAATCATATTTTTAAATAAATAATTATATATATATATATATATATATATATATATATATACACACACACACACATGTGCATGAATCTCTCTCTCTCTCTCTATATATATATATATATATATATATATATATATATATATATATATATGTAGCTGAGTGGTTAGAACATTCACTTTCTGACCATGAGATCCAGGTCTGATTGTCACCAGGAGAATTTGTCAAAGAGAAATTTCCTGATATTGGTTTGTAGTGTTGGGCATGGATGATCCTAGCATACTGCATCCTGGAAGTGACTGACACCATACAATGGGTTGACTCAAGTCTCATGAGGGAAATTTGGTAGACAAAATATCCAGGTTGTCAATAGCTGTGCTAGCATGAAGTCTTAAGTTATCATGACTGAGGGTTTGAGTGTTCTGGTGTCATTCAGATTGTTGATCATTCTAGGTAACATGCTCTCTCCCAGAGACTGTAACTAAGGTCTGCTCAATATAGTTGAAGGTTGGCTGAATGGGTGTTCAACAAATAGTAATATGCCTGAGTGAAAGTCTGCAAGAGGGATTAGCTAACTGCCCCAGTAGACTGGTATTCTCGAATCGTGTGGCCAGCTATTATATAAAAAAATATGTATGTATATATATATATATATATATATATATATATATATATATATATATATAAAATATACATGTGTGTGTATAAAATATATATTTATATATATATATCTATCAAAATATACATATGTGTGTGTGTATATATATATATATCTCAAAATATACATGTGTGTGTGTGTGTGTGTATATATATATATATATATATAAATGCTTTAAGGTGTGCTATATTTATG